CCCCCTTTTTTTTCGACCCCGGTGAAAATTGATTCCCACAACTAGAAAAATGGTTGATTTCATAATAGTACAGTATGTATATATATATATATATATATAGGTAATGATTATATTACAGAGTGGATACGCTGAAGAATGGAGATGAACTCCCTGATATGACTTTACTTAAGACTTTCCCAGAAGATGTTGATCTCATGACTGTCAAGTAAGTACATACTGAAACTGTATACATTGATGCTTCTTTTCCCCCCTGGCTTTGCGGCTTTAAATTGTTATTTTTACAGAGTTTAACTCTTTCATCACTGTGGACCACAATGGACTCATCCAGATAAATGGATGGTAGAGTCTACTAAAGTCACCTAGGGGTGAAAGGGTTAAACTATGATCCAGTCACTTTGCCTTAATGTACTACAATGGCAGTCAGGAAGACCTATGAGTCTTGGCATTTTTTATGTCAAAATTCCTTCTTTGGTAGAAAAGTGGAAATTTTCCTGAAGGTTGACAGTGAATGTTGGCTAAGACTCTATCCATATGTTTTGTCTAAATCTGCCTAAAATATATAATTCATTACCACATCAATAATGATATTTGAGTATTTTTTTTATATTTTATGCTCAGTTTTGTTCAGGCTGAGGAACCCATATTCAATCCATATTAATATTATTGTGCATCAAATCATATTGAATCAAATCAAAGTACCTGTGGTATGTTCAATATAAGACTGATTAAAATAATCTATGCTAATCGGTGTAGTACAAAGTAAAAGATTCCATGTGACAGACTGATTTAAATCAGATCGATAAATACAAGCAATATTATATGACTGTTTGTACAAGACTAGTGTACGCAAATTTCCTTGCTCATTTCTGCTATATGGGTCATCATCTATGGTCGGAAGTTTTGTTATTAAGAAAATGATGAAACAAGACAGAATATTTTAATTTGTTGACTGCTATATAAGGTTAATTGTTTTTCAGTTCTTCGCATTTATGTTTATCGAGTCCATAACAGATTCTTTCTAATATCAGAAAAAAATGAAATTTGAAAAGATTTTATAAATCAATTTTTCAGCAGTATATATATATTCATGAATGAATGTAAATTTACCAGTGAAGAATTAAAAAACCTTTTTCTTAAAGTTTTGCTTTTTATTTTGTTTCGTGCAGAATACAAAAAAGTGAAATGATTAAGAGAGAAACCAGTAGCCATTACAAACAATTTATCAACAAGAAGCTTAAATATAAAACAGTGCAAGAGAAGTTGTCTGTGAGTATTATGTATACATGCATGTATTATTAATGTCACTTTCTTAACTTCAATGTATAAAACACTATAGGATTACAAAATATAATGGTAATAGTTATGTGTAATGTGTCATAGATTTATGTAATGTTATATTCATGCAGTTATCATTTCTTACCACCTGATTTTCAGAAATAAATTTAATTGGAAAAGCATCATAACTTACATGTTAATGATCAACAAAAAGGAGGAACATGGTATTACTTCCTTTACAGTTCCCAACATCTGATCTTGACTGGTTCATTTGTTTTAGAAATTCAAAAGCGGTAATCCAGCTAACGAGTTTACGCAAGATGTTCCAAGTGACTATAAGATTGGACATGATGTTATACTTGAGATTAGTATACACACTGCCACATGTATGGGAGCCAGTGTGAATACCCAACCAAAGGTAAGGTTATGCACTCTCCTAGCCTCCTCGGTATGGGCGCCAATCTACCAGAGGTACTACCCATTCTTTAGGAAGCAACTGTAACATTGATTTATATGTTACAGTCATACAGTTGAACCTCCAGACACCACTCAGCTAATTTGTAATAATATAGATATCTGTAATATAAACATGATGTCATTAGCTAACACTAACTGCATCACAAGGTATTTTAAATATTCAGATGTAAGAAATTTCAGATCTGTACATTCCCACGCTATAAATGTGTTGTCTGCAACATCAGTTGAAGATATATATCTACGATATGTTCTAAATTAAGGGAGTTAATAAAGTTTTCATGTTGATACTGTCCCCATATCAAATTAAAGTAAAATATTAGGGGACCCCAAGTGTTTTAAATATGTCTCGTGACAGATTTTAATTGTTCATAGGGATATGACTGCTTTGGAAGGAATTCCCCTTCATGTCAAAAAGGTAGAGTGGTGAACTGGGAAGCTAGTTATAGCTTGTTCAATCTGCAATGGAAGCACACAATTCTCTTTCTGTTACAGTCTTATGTTTCTGTACCTGTATGATTTCAATATGATTACATGCCTGAGACCAACTTTAAAAAGTCAAGCAGTGAAACTGAAAATGCTTTGACAACCACAAGTCTGTGTTTATACAAGTATTCAAGTGATTAATTACAACAGCCTTTCTATCATTTTCTGCTGTAGCTTGGTCTCGACCAGAAGTTCCAGGTCCTTGGAAGTCAGCGTCTGACGGAACTGCGTGACAAGATCAGCTGTGTCAATGACCTCACAATAAGTGGCGACTTCAGTGAGAACCCAGACGATACCTCTGGTTTCTATGCTAAGGTATAACCACAGGCACACGATTATTGGTACATTGTACTATACAGGGCCCCGCTGTTCAAAGACAGATTAGCTTTCAAACTCTTGACAAAGTATTGCAAATATTTAATCAGGAATATTTTCAAAAATATTGAAATTCAAAACCATAACTACAGTATTAAGAATGATTGCCTGAATAAAAATCATAAAGTTATTTGAAAATTTCCAGAAATCTTTAAAAATTCACGTTTAAGATTGCATGCTACACTTACTCATTAAGCTATAACTAGGCATGACACAACCAGGCCCTGGAGGGAACGTAGGGTTGCAACTTGTCTGTCATTCTGTCCATCATTCTGTCCATCCATCCTGTTACACTTTGAACAACTGAGCTTTGGAGGGAAGAATATGATGGCAACTTGTCTGTCCGCAAATCTATCATTCTGTCCATTCATCCTGTTACACTTTGGTAAATTTTTCCTTTAAAATACCAATATTCATAAACTTTTTAACAATATTTTTATGTATTGTTAAAAATATTTACTACAGAACCTGTAGAGATACTAATAAATAAATTGATGGCCTTGATGACAGTTGTTTTGATTTGATAGAAATATTAATTACCCTTTATAGCCCTGTCACTGTTTTGAATTTCTAGGATGTATACAGATCAGGTTTTTTCTACATGGAAGGCGTATTTTACAATGATTTAAGAGAAGTGGATAGTCGTGACTACAGTAGGTAAGTTTACAAATAACATGGAGAGTGCACATAATATGTAGTTTATTTAACAACAATTATGAAACAAGTTTAATAAGCTTATTTGATAACTCTTGTTGACCTTAATTAAAGTACACAGGAAACCAGAGAACCTGGAGAAAAGCCACATAGGTGGGTAGATGACCCAATACCTCTTCATGTCCCTTCTGGGAATCAAATCCTAGTTGTCTTGGTGAACGGGTTGTAAACTGTCCACTGTGCCACGAGACTGCATGGAGATAATTATAATGATATGTAAAGCCACGGAATTGTTGATATGACAAATATATGAAAGTAACTAACCAATCATATGTTGGTAATCAAACAATTATGGTCCACTCATTATCAGCCAAGATTTTAAACCAATTGTCATTATTAAATCTGTTATTGTGTGCTGTGAAAGAGAGCAAGGTAAGAATGTCACTGCATTCAAGGGTGTCGATTTCATGTTAAGAAGATCAGCCCATGAGCAGAGTTTGAAAAATTCTACTAGCCCTACCTATAACTTCATAAGAAATATTCAAAATTTCAACTAGCCCTGACATGAAATTTACTTGTGGAAATGTACCTCTCTATTCAGTTGGAGCCTTCTGTAGGCACTGCATCTTCCTATAGGTCCATTTGATCTTTTCAGTGAAATTCGGAAGTGGGCAGCGGAGCAAGGACGAGGAATTGGCCCAATGACAGTTCAGGGCATGGATGATGTATTCTTTTTGGATCTGAAAGTGCGTCTTGGGCAGCCCTACCTCTATCTGCATCAGGGAAACTGCGAGCACATCATCATTTTCACAGACATACGGTACACACCAAGCAACTGCTGTCTATTTCTTATATCATCAATGTATGCATGAAAATTTAGACAGTTCTGATTGGCTTGAAATACATTCAAAACATCTAAAACCTCATTTTCACTTAATAGTCACCAAGTGTTAAATAATGGATTTGCTAAGCATGTGTGCAGCTGGACAAAAGTTTATCAGAAATTTAGCTGTTTGACAATTCATCCAGTTTGCTGTCATTTGGTTAAACAGTTAGCAAATGGAGTCTTTCGTTTATTAATATCCAAAGGGTTAAACTGGTTAGACCAGAGTTTTTCATTAATGAAATAAGGTCGGACCTAGTAATCTGATGCTGCTTTCAGGCAAGCCTTGATAAAGCCTTGCAAGGCCAGCATAGACATTTGCAGGTATGTCTGGATTTATACTCTAAAATTTTTACATTTATTCACAGACGAACCGCTTGACCAAGGGACCTTATTTTCTGTTCTTTAGTATCGTGGGGTCACATTTTTCACAAAGACCAAATTTATAATGTTTATATATATCATGCTACACACTTAATTGTTTAATATATTATTATGGCTTTCATATTGACAGGTAGTTTACCAGAAGGTAGAATTCTTAGAATTCATAGATAATGTTCCTTAACAAGAGTTAAGAATACTGTTCCTAGAAAACATGGGGTATGCTTCTAGAATTAATGGATTATGCTCCTAGGACTCTATAAGTAATAAGGGGAGGTAACAACAATTTATACATATGTTGACATTCCCTCGATGTAAGTTTTTTTTTTGTACCAATGGATATTTAAATTTGTGCATTTCTTTGAGAGGAGTGGTGTGAACAATGTTTTTGCACTAAGGGGCACAACTGCCATCAAAAATTGCCAGATCAAAATATTACTCACAGGTGTACAACCTCTGAGTGTTGACTGCATCAGTGAAGTTTATTGAAATTCAGCTGAAAACTGGAGGAGTTTAGCACACAAGATTTTTAGGTCACCTGAGCTTTGCTCAAGTGACCTATTGCTATCTGTCTTCGTCTGTCGTCTGATAACATTTTACATTTTCAACTTAAGCTGAAATACTGTCAAAGGGATTTCATTGATACTTCATTGATACTTCAAGGGAATGTTACTGACAACTCCCTGACCAAGTCTTGTTATTTTTCGGGTCGATCAGAAATCCAATATGGCCACTAGGGCCGCCATTTTAAAAAACTATTTCAAACTTAAAGTTAAGTTCTGCTTGGCCGATTGAACTGAAAGTTGGGAGGAATGATCGCCTCATGCTCCTGACCAAGTCTTGTTATTTTTCGGGGCGATCAAAAATTCAATTTGGCCACCACGGCCACCATTTAAAAAAAACTAGTTCGACCTTAAAGTAAAGTTCACCTGGGCCGTTTTAACTGAAACTTGGTAGGAATGATCAACTTCTGGTCCTGACAAAGTGTTGTTATTTTTCGGGTCGATCAAAAATTCAATTTGGCCACCACGGCCACCATTTAAAAAAAACTAGTTCGACCTTAAAGTAAAGTTCTACTCAATCTGATTGAAATCATATCCTACGTTCTCTACGTATCACGTTAGACGTACGATATGATTTTAATCAGATTGAAGTCTACTGGGCCAAAGTCAAGTTCTACTGGGCCAATTTAACTGAAACTTGGTAGAAACAATCAACTTATATTCTTGACAAAGTGTTGTTATTTTTCGGGTCAGTCTGAAATCCAATATGGCCACTAGGGCCGCCATTTTAAAAAACTATTTCAAATTTCAAGTCAAGTTCTGCTGGGCCGATTTTACTAAAACTTGGTAGGAATGATCGATTCATGGTCCTGACAAAGTGTTGTTATTTTTATTTTTTGGGTCGATCAGTAATCTTATATGTCAACCAGCGCCGGCCATTTTGAAAAACTATTTCAAACTTAAAGTCAAGTTCTACTGGGCCGTTTTTACTAAATCTTGGTAGGAATGATCGACTCATGGTCCTGACAAAGTGTTGTTATTTTTGGGGAATATCAGAAAACCATTATGGCCGCTAGGGCCGGCCATTTTGAAAAACGATTTCAAACTTAAAGTCAAGTTCTACTGGGCCGATTTAACTGTAACTTGGTAGGAATGATCAAATCATGGTCCTGACAAAGTGTTGTTATTTTTCAGGTCGATCAGAAATCCAATATGGCCGCCATTTTGAAAAACTATTTAAAACTTAAAATCAAGTTCTTATAGGCCGAATTAATGGAATGATCTACTCATTGTCCTGACAAACTTAACTTCAAGTTATGCTTGAACTTTTTTTTACTCAAATTTTGAAAGGTAGGGATGATTGGCATCATTATCTCCACTTCATATTTAAACAACAAAAATAAAATACTGTAGGACTCAGGTGACTGTTAAGGCCCATGGGCCTCTTGTAAAAAATGGGCATAACTCCCATTTAAGTTATGCCAGACAGAATTCTTCCCAACATTTCTTTGTTGGTGATATATCATTAAATGTTGTTTGTTTTTGGCAGTCTGTTCCACAATGATGACATCCAGGATAGGAGAGAGTACCCTAGACTTACATACAAGAGGACGTACAAACGCTCAATCTGTCGTGTGTGCGAGATCCATTCCTCTCGGTACGGTTCCAGTGTATCATGTATAACTGAAAATTTTCAAGAGAAATTTATGTTGGAGATTATGTTGCTTTATTTTGATTTAAATAATATTTTAATGCATTATTTACTTTATTATAACCAGCTGATAATTACCTGTTGGAAGCAAACATTGTAATGTGGAAATTTGTACAATTTATGTTATTGTATACATTTCCATGTACCATAAATTAAGCCTTTGTCAACTGAAAAGTCTCAAATAAAAGATTCAATTGTCATGTTACTAACTTTGCTTCAATGTAAAGAGCAGGTAGGCTAATTAGGATGGTTTCAGGAGTTGAGTTTTCAACAAAAGAAATATTTTAATACATTTTAGAAACGATCTATTACATGTAAGTATTGGTATGCAATTCACTTAAAGATCAGTCTTTTTAAAGTACAATTTGTATTAATAGACCATTCAAAATCGATTTTATAATGGAGTCGGTCAATTAGATAAATATGAGGACACACCAGAGCATAGACACCTTCCATTTGATGTAACTGTATTCAAAATTGTGTGTTGTTGTCGGGTACAGGACAGGTTTTATTACAGAAGTTGATATTCCTACTTACTTCAGGTGGCTGACATATGGTAGTGAGCATGCACCTGATGACCCTTCCTTCTTCTGTGACCAATGCTTCAGGGCCCTTCACTATGACAAAGACGGCAAGAAACTGGGAGATTTCAAGGCGTACAAGTACTTTGACAAACAGGCAGTGGTGTGAAGACTTCCTGTTGGTGAACAAAGGACTTGTCTTCCGTATTATGGAATACATGCAGGCCACTCTGCATTACCCCCTAAGTTATTCCATCATGCCAGCAAGCTATGTTTAGCTTCATGAATTTGAAGCCAGCAGTACTGTTGTATGAAAAACTAACGTGTGGAAACAGCAGCTTTGTTGGTGAAGTGTTGAGCTCCTAGAATGCCACAATGGTGTGTTCCGTGTCCAAGTGCAGACAACTACATCACTCCATCATGCAGGGAATTACAAGCTATATTCAGCTTCCTTACCAATTAATTCCTATTATTGGAGCAACCAACAGACCTTGTTTCAATCTTGGCCTGTAGGCTTCAAATGAACACCGATTGGTTTGCAGGATTTTTCCTATGAAAATACAGCTCCCAGAGTGCTAGGATATTGTGTTCAGGGTCCAAATGATCTTTTGTTAGTCATCACCGGCCATGACCAGTCGGACATAGCTAGGGGCTTGGAACAGTCACTTATCATCTGAAGCCATCCTCACAAAGTATTAGCATTGTCATTCAGGTACATGATAGTAAAGTGCTCTTTTTTAATAACAATGAGGAGTGAACTGGACATAACACTAGATATTTGTCATCTTACAATAAAATACTGCATGATTTACTTTGCAATTATTTTAGTTTGTCATCTCTTACCATGGAAAATTACTAGCCGCTTCCATCTTCAGACTTGGCTTGGGAGAGTAGAGCATCAAACTAGTAAATCAAGAGGTTCAACCCCGTAGTGGAAGCATTGGGTTGAAACATATGTTTCAAATGCTTCATTTAGTCAAAATCACTTCAAATCCATTCTCAACTTTTAAAGTCTTTGATGACATATGTACAACATGCAATAGCATCAAGTCACTAGACTCTAGTGTACGATTATAGAAAATTGATCGGTTTGCCCTGTCCGATTATAAATCCCATAATCGGTTAATCATTAAAATCAAAGTGTTAAATGATTGCAATGTAAAGTATGCATTGAAAGTTAATTGATATCAATTCATTTTAAGAGAACGTAATCTAATGTATAGTTAACATTTCTCCCTTTTGATGTAATAGTGTTCTAATTTTTATTAGGGTATTCAGTCTCATAAAATTCATCTTCGCTAGCCAAGTGTTCGCTTCGTAAACATGCCACTTACCCTTGGTGGATATAGCCGTGTTTACAGAGTCTTCAAATTTTCGTGCGGTGCCAATCGCTCGCACGGCTATATCCGCCAAGGGTAGGTGGAGTGTATATGAAGCGAACACTTGGCTAGCAAAGATGCATAAAATTATAAACCAACTATATATGTAATCAATGATTTATTATGATTTTAAACTGATTGCCCATCACTACTTCGCTCAGATGGGAGGCAGTTCATGACTAACATATAAAAACAGAAGACAAACTTTATGTATCTGCATGCTATTTTATTTTCACGGAAAATATCCCTTTCATATTTTAATCATATATATTACAAACAAATTTGGTATTCAGAGGAAAGATGAAGGATTGAAATGAGAAAAAATACATTAAGAGAGATGAGATTTACAGTAGAAGATGGGTTCCTGCACCTTTTCATTTCAATACAATATTATCAGTAATCCTCTATCTAGCATCTTTTTGAAAACTTCCATCTTGAATCACTGAAATGGTAATATCAAAATCTGCAACCTGGCTGGTATGAGGCATCTTGCCTGATCAGTGTTTGAATGCTTTTCCTCATTTGGATTATGAGTTATTTTCTGAGTAACAGTATTTCATTTTCACCCCCATCAAAATTGACCCAATTTTTGCATTAGTCATATATATACAAACCTAGAGTATGTGAATAGTGCATGAATTTGGCGTCTTTGAATCAATCATTTTTTTTCAATATTTAATACAAAAGGGTGAATATAAGCACTTTATAGTAACCACTGTGTTTATCCTGCAATACGCCTAGTGAGGACATCACATCATCTGGTTTCAAGTGGGTTAATTATATATAATTACAGGACACTGAAACAGCATTTATTGGTATTTTCACTGATTGTAACAGATATGGATAGACTTGTTAATACCAGGCATGAGGTTATTGCAAGATAAGAATGATGCTAACTCATTCACCCCTGAAGAACTATTCTAACCTTTGAATTGAAAGAGTTCAAACAAGTCTTCAGGGGTGAATCAGTTGGGATTTTAGACAAAAAATGCAGAAATTAAACCAATCATTATAGAGAACCCAATTTCATTTGATAGGCTGATGAATACATACAGATCATTTATATATAAAAAAAAAATTCATTGATGGAAGAAATCATAAATATCTTGAAAACACTTTGACCCAAGGTGACTGTTTTCTTTAGCTGGTTCTATACACAATTTGTTGATTAATTACATCATGAAACCCGCTTCAAGGATATACGTACATTACACATACAAGACCTAAGCACTAAGACAAAATATGTACACTACAGATTCTACATGTTGCATAGGCCTGATGTTAGTTTAGGGTTACCCTACCTATCATAATTTATACTACAAACCTTACTGAGAGTGTATGCCCTATTTTAGACATTCCCTTGAAAAGTCAGTATAATACTCCATTGGACAGTGTAAAATAGTTTTTTGAAAAATTATAATAATTTAAGCTCGTTTGTAACCTTCCGTTTCTCGTATCATTTCCTTCACAACTGGTTCTTTAAATACATTGCATCATTTTCACAACACATATTTCTCGCACACAAAAACATCCTGTCCTTTTATTATAAGGCATTTCTCTCCAGATAAAGCATTACCTAATTATCAGACAAAAATGTTGAGCTAGCAACTTTAATTTGCTTTCCCTGTTTGTAATATATATTTTTCTTATCTTCCTCACTTATATACTTAATTATACAAAAATGTGTACAAAATATAAATAAATATCTGGAAAATGGCAATGAATTGCTAGCAAAAAATAGTCCTGCCTCTTGAATTCAGACACTTGTTTCTAGATCAAGTGGCCGAGTTATATCTAGAACACTTTTGAATAGAAAAAATGATATCAATTTGGCCGCAAGCCTATCAGAATGCACATTTCTAAACACGAAACAGTTGTAAATTATGAAAATCATGAAATATGACTCAAAACTCTAGGACTGAATCATAATTCTAAGTTATCAATTGTTTTATAATCATGACACCATTCAAGTTAACATTTAATGTATGATTTTGTAAAGGAGAATAAGAATGATGAGCATGTGATGTTTTTTAATTGATGAAAACAAATATGGGAAATTTAAATTGTAGAAAGTAAATGGCAATATCTTATATTTGAAATTTAGATCAGTACCGTTAATATGGACTTCGAAATCACACCATGACTGCAAGCACACATACAGATTGCCATATAAGATATTTTTCAGATTTACAATTTCAGAAATTGCCATGTTTAACAATCGGTCACTCTGGACTATCAAAGTTTTCAGCATTTTTATTTGAAAAAAAAGTTTTTCGCTCTCAAGTATGAACTGCTCGCCACAATCGCTCACTCTATATTGCACTTGGTAAAGAGCTTTATCTTTAACATCACATTCAACTGTTCTTAGGAAACATACATGATGGCCATTTCATTTGTGCATCAAGTATAAAACGGTAAATCTTCCTACTGTTCAAAGAAAATTTACAACACTGGTTAATTGAGTTATCTTAGATGAAAGGCAATAAAGGAACAAATTATCAATATCTTGTACCAGTATTATCTTTATAATACCAACATTCCTTCACCAAAATCTTTCTGTAGGAAGATTGTGCATTAATCTATGACAATTGCATTCTCAGAATCATGCCCTCCCACTACAGAACTGACCATCTGATTTACTGGTCTGGCAGGTCCCTGTGGCGTGGAGCTCATTTTCACCATTTGTCCAACAGGATTCTGCAACGAGTGAGAAGAATTGTTTACTGACTTTGGTTGGTCCTGAGGCATGGTTATTAATTTGTTTATAGGTCTCACATTAGATGGGCTTTTGCCAACAACATTGAATGGCAATTCCGTTTTTACAGCTGTCTTTGACGACAGTGGCGATACCAATGTAGGGACTATCCTCTTCTGTTGGTTGTCAACTGGATATACCGATGGAGTCATTTTCTTTAGAGGATTACTTGGTGAGACCATTTTAGTAACTATCCTTTTCTGCTGATTATTAACTGAATTCACTGATGGAGTCATCCTCTTTAGAGGATTACTCGGTGAAATTATCGTAGGAACAATCCTGATTTGCGATTCACTTTTTCCCATTTGAGGACTCTGCAAAGATTTCTGAAGAAGTGGCGACAACATGGTAGGAATAATTCTCTTCTTCTGATTATCTGGAGATGCTTTGGCTGTTAGTGGAGATCCCCCAGGAAACATAACCTGTGGTGACATGGCCCTAGGTTTGAAATTGGGATGAGAGGGGGATGTGAAGTTGACCTGAGCTTTATGCTGGGGAGAAGTAAATGATGCTCCTGGAATGACCTGCATACCGCCATGCTGTGCAGCATTGATTGCTGCTGCCTGGCGCATGGCTGCCTCCAAAGCTTGCTGTTTTGCCACTGCCTCAAGTGCAGCCTGTTTCGATGCAGCTTCCAATGCTGCCAACTTGGCCGACGCTTCTGCCGCTTGCTTGGCTGCGACAGCAGCATGCTGAGCTGCTATCTCTGAGGGAGACATGTGTCTTGCAAACTGTGTAATGGACACCTTAGGTGTTTTGAGGGATGTAGTGGGTGTAGTTGGTTCTTCAGACTTGGGCTTGGGGGTTTCATTGTCAGTTTCTTGTATATTAGGCACAGGGAGGTCCGTCAGATTGTACTGTTGTTGAAAGTTTTCATGTACATACCAACATACTTTCTTGAACGTTGCACGCTTCTCGCGGACAGCTATGGACGATATCTTTAATTCCAGCTGACGCTTAGATATACAGTATGTGTGGACATCATCACTGATTTCAGATGTATCCATAGCAATCCTTTTTTCAATGGGCGTTTCCCCTTCTTTCACTTTCACTTCAGGAGTATCAACTTCCATTTTTGACTCTGCAGGTGATGATGGGGTTTGGTCACCAGAGACCTTTTGTCCCCAAAATGTTCTGAATCTTTTAATCAGCTTCTTGATTCCAGCCAAGTTTCCATGGACCAAGCGAATCAAATCTGGCATTGCTGTGAAAGAGAACAAAATAGTTTTAATTCTTTGTATCAGCATGGTCTTTTATTTAATATGGCGCCAAGTCTAGCCTATACAACAAAATTTGTTATAATTGACTTTACAACACAAGATTATATAAGACATCTTACTTAATCAGCCTAAGTGACCTGATGTTTTGCTTAACTTTTTATTTCCAACAATCATTCTCAGATTTCCAAAAAAAACAACACCAAAAAACCTTCTATATCTGCACCACATGCCAAGAATAATTCAACTTGAAAAGTTAACAAAACCTAATTATTTTAACTTGCTTTCTGGGCATGCCTTAAAGCAGTTTTGATGTGTTTCATAAAACTGAAATATTTTATTTAACAACGTTTTGCTTGTCATTACATTTGAATTGCTCAAATATTTGAATATAATGATAAGCTACAAATTCAAAAATGGCTGCTCCAGTATTGTGTGTATGACAGGAGAGGGAGTTGCTTGTATTAAAATTCTATTTGTGCTGGGGTTAAATCAAACACTTGAGTAGTAAAACTCTCACCTTCTTCGGGAACAGGTTTGATCATGCCATTTTTAGGTGTAGCACAATTCTTCTCCGAGGGTGAACTGTCCAGTTTAGTGTTCAGAGCTCTGCTATACGTGGTTGGTATAGGGTCAGCACTCAAACACACAGCCTGAAAGGATTACAAGGTAATATATTAAACAGCCTGTTATATTCTGGTCCAATACATTCTGCATCAGTCTTGGAATGACTAAATATAATGAGGCTCTCCAACAAATAAGGTAGTCTGGTGGCTATTTAAACTTTGTGCACTCACCTTTCATCAAGACCATGCATGATTTCTCTAAATAATTCCTCTCAAATTAAGAATCCCCCTGCTATTTTCATTCGGGCCAAAAAGAGTGATCAATATTTGTTTATAATAATTCAAAAATTGTTGTTTGATAAACTAAAAGTGATTTTCTTTCTTTAACAAGCCATTCGTATTGATATGTCTCGCCTATGCCCAACTTTGACCATCAATGCACATATCAGAGAAACAAACTTAAACGCAAATACTTAATGTTGATGGAAATGCTGACAAAGTCAATGTACCATAAAAGGTAGGCGACATCCAGCATTTGATGCATGGGGTTAGATGTTTAAGTTTGGTTGGTCTAGCACTTATACTTTCAGTGAAACTAACTTAAACGCAAAAATTTAATGTTGATGCCGTCGAAGGAAAAGCAACACCATAGTTTCGCTTCCACTTCATGATGGCGAGACAAAAACCTGTTTTCCTCTGGAGTGAGGAAATCTAAATGAATAGTAGGAGAAATACAATATCCTACACCAACTTAATGTCATTGTTAAGAGAAAGATCTAGTTCACTTTAGCAACATCAGCTTGCTTGGTCCTTTTGATATTACCTTGTAACTGTTAATTGTTTCTTGGACCTGTTTCTGGAGACTGTGCACAGCTTGTTCCCAAACACAGCCGATGATGATTGGCAGTGCGGCTTTGGTCTGGCGCTTCAGTTCACTTTCCCATGAATCAAGCTTTGCCTGTCGTGCAGCCTTCATCATCTCTGGGCTTACCTGTCACAAATCATCATCATAAGGACATACTTTTGTAGTGTATAAGATCAATTTGCATGCAAAAAATCATGTGGGATATTTTTTTCACATCCAGTCCTGCAACCTTTAAGTTTTTGTCAGATTTTGGAAAGTGATGCATAATTTTTAATTTAGGTGATTTCACAGATAACGTGATACATGTTTAAGGTTGTTGTAATCATGGATTGGAAATGCATTTATTGATTCAATATCCCTTCATAACCAACTAACCAGGTACGTTATGTTATACTTGTACATCAAATCTTTTGTTATTAATGCAAACACTTAGTTATATTTACATTTGCCCCTGCACCGTCCCATTACAACAGTGTTAGAGGGCAAGTGTAATTATATAGGCTATAATTACAACTGCTCGACTATAGTTACAACTGCCTGTTTCAGGTGTAGGAATATGTAAACAAACAAAATGGCCGCCTGAAATGTATTTTGAGGCAGGGCAAAAAATGGTTTTTGTAGGAATATGTCTTAAAAAAGAAAAATATGTAAATATAAAAAATACCTGGTTGTCTGGATGTAATTATTGTTGATATAATTACAAGTGGCCTCTGGCAAATCCCATAAAACCCGCTACAATAATTACATCCAGACAACCAGTTATTGTTTAAATAATGTCCGGTCCCCNTTCAGGTTTATCGTTTGATCATTGGATGTCTCACTAACACCCATCTCTCCATGTGATACCTAACAGAATTATCATATTTAAGAAAAATTGAATACAGAAGAATTAAAAAATTTTGTACTCAACTTTTTTAACCATAAAAAAATGTCTATCATGTTTTATACAGTGGTTTTAAATAATAAAATCGAAGGGTCTTCATCTCCCAAGTTTATATATTGCTACAGCAGACATTTAAGTATTTATTTAACTTCTGATCACTGTATTGTATATTGTAGCGCATCTAGTGGTGTTTCTTACTCCCTTTTTTTGTGTACCAAAATTTGAGCTGATTATTTATTTATACTACACTCAAGTATGAATATTATTTTGCCACTTTGTGATGAAGTCACTTTAAAGAAGAAAAAGTTTGAACTGAATCAATAAAAGATTGATATGAGGATGGACTACACTACACACATCTTCATCAGCTTGGCATCCCTCATCATCTGACAAGTATCCATGAGGAACCATCCAGTCATCTTCATCCTCCCCATCACCACCACCATCCTCCTCCTCTTCTCCCTGATGAAACAAATATTTATCTTTTATTCAACACGAACTTAATACACAGATTACAAACGTAAGAAATACAAGAGGTCCTATGGGGCTGTAGCGTTCACATGTTTTCATCATTAACCTACAGGTCTTTGTTGTAAGATTTTATAACCAGGTACTCTAGATCTACACCTTATTAAGCTGCATGCCAATTATCCTGACCCTTGGTCTCTTGGTTAAAGTCCTTTAAAGTTTTGAACACAGTTACCTTGTGGCCTTGAACATTTACCTTTTTGGTAGCAATAGCCTCTACAAGCAAAAAGCTTTATTGATACATTATAACAGTGGTGACAAACATACCTCTGATCCAGATAAGCTCTCTCCTGGCTCCTCCTCCTCCCATTCGTCATCACTTTCTACCTCATAGTCAAACAGATCCTGAAATACCACAGTAAACATGATCAAGTTCAATTTTGGGTAAAATTTATATACAAAGTACTCGAAACAGAAATACAACATGTACATGTATTGGATAACTTATTACTATTATGAGATTTCTTTGGAACTGCTTGTTGCATTCCCAGGCAAAATTGACAACATGCTCATAAATATTAAACGAAGGCTGTTTTTGAAGTGTTGACACTATGGTGTCAATATACAACTCTCAGGTAAGGTGTCCAAAAATATATTAAAACCGTAACAGATCACGAAGATAGGAAGTATAGCAATTCAATAACAAATGTCAATAGTGCAAAAAAACATTAATGTTTCAATAAATTTCAATGCCACTAGCCCCTACTCCAACAATGTTAGAGGTTTTACACGGCGAAAAACTTTTGACAGGCGCCGCGTAACCTCTAACTGCCCATAGCTGATTTTCCCGATGCTGACTATCACCTTTTCAAAGTTCGGACTAAGAAAGAGTATATCGTGTTTACATACATTTAAATGGTCAAAAGGGTCCAATAAATATTCCTTTACATAAATCCATGATTATATGGGAAAAATTTCATGTCAAAGACATAAATAATGAGTTTTTCCTCACTCGAAGCGAAGCAGACAGCATTTGCCATGATTTTTCCGGTTAATACAAAAATGGATTACATGTAATGTTTCACAAGTGGAATACAAACAAACTCCGTATCATTTCGTTCCGTTTGAAATCCCCCCTGATATTTTGTATTAATCCAGAAGCCATGTTTTAAATGTAGGTCAGAGATGTGCTACAACGACATGGACATGTATTTTGAGTGTTCTATTCCGTAATATACTATATATTTGTGTCTGTGACATATATATGAGATCTATATTATATAAACCGTGAGTAGACATCGTTGTCATGAACNTAGCCCCATGCCAGGGTCTAATAGGATTCTATGTCATGACTGATGAAAAATGGCAACTCAAATTTTTCAAATCAGCATGCAGGTTTGTACTGCAAATGCTAAAGGGACTGGGTAGATTTTTTAAAACATGGTTCTCATGTTATTTTTATTTTCTAAATGATATTTATGCCTCTTTCTGGTGGTTGATCAGGTATGTACTTCATTAAGACTTCTGTGCTTATCTTTACCTTCTCTTAACAATAACAACAATACCAGCTAATTTAGAAAATACACATGTTACGTAGTGAAAATGAAAGACATGCAATGATACTGGACTGTGCCAGCATGTTGCTTACATTTTCAGTTCACATACTTGAATGACAATATATAAAGCCTCGGGTGACAATGGTTTTCTCGGGTTGACAATATTCACCGTCACCTGCTAATGAATGTCATATTTATATCTATTTTGTTACACCAAAAGTCAATGTAGCTCAGAAACGGCAGCAAACCTCGATAATGACATCTTGTTTGTTGATAGTCTGCTGTTTACAATCGCTATCGCACCAGCGCTTGATGAAATTGGCTGCTGCCGTGAAACGTTCTTGTGACCATCACGGTGGGGAAACGAAGCGGTGCACGCACATTTTTTGCGCATGTGATATTTTTCACTGTCTCATGGCAATATCACCCGCGCCCCTTTAAACCAATGTATTTTCGGAGGGTGACAGAGATTTTTGTTTAATTTTCTCCCAACCAATCAAATAGCTAGAAATTCACTTGAGGTGTAACAACAAAACATGTTACAGGTACTCCATCACTGTCATACAATTCAGCGGGTTAACACGGGCATGTATACCTTGTCTTGTTTCCATGGATTCCTAGGACTGACAGTTCCACTTTTTTTCCTCCATGTGCCAAAGTAAGGTGGTCTGTAATTGGTGTGGAACTGGAGCAGTTTACAATGGTATGTAACCTTATTGACCGACTCCGAGTCGTGAACAAGCACCACATCATCATCCATATTAAGTTTCCTGAGAACAAACATAGACAAGTTAGTTCAATAATTACAGCCAGTGTCCCTTAAGTTGCAGAATAATATTCTCACACAGTTCTAGCGCTGTTTTAAGAAAGGAGGTTACCTGTCAACTGCTTTGTATTTTTTGGGTCGTATTTTTCCAGTTCTGAGCTCCTCAACGTACAGGGGGCTGTCGTGAGACTGTGTAAGGCAAACAGTATCAATAATGAGAACACATTTTTTTTTTATTAATTCTGTTCTATGATGCTTGCAGGTCCAATTAATTAAATATGTATGGCCCCATTTTAGAAATACTGAATTGAACTGCTCAAAAACTTTAACCTAGCACCTGTTCAAAAACTAGTAAAGTTAGCTCCTTAAAGGACCTAATATAGTCCATAGTTATGTTTACACCTAGATAACACTGGGATTGCCTTGAAAGTTTAAAATACTAAATAGCAACGGGAAAACTTGCTCAAAAACCTAAATCCTAAGTAGGATGCTAACATTTACTGAAATACATTAATTAGCCGATCCCTTCTTCAAATAAAGCTTCAAACAGCTCCATCACCAGCAGGAGCTAACTATGTATTGGCTAATGACATCTTTAAAATTCCATATATCTAAACTGGTATTTTAAACCATGTTCCTACATGGATTGATCTGTACATTACTGACCTGTTCGTAAGACAACTGGTCAAGTGTTGCTGCTGCTTCATCGTCCAATTGTTTTCTTGGACAATATGTTGCCAGTTTCATGTCCTTCTTTACTTCAAATGGCATGAACAAACTTTTAGTTTCATTAACCTGAAAGAAACAAGTTCACAATCAACTTATGGTTAAAACGTTTCTGTGGATCCAAAGGAAATTGTGAAGTTTATCATCTGGATTTCAAAAATAAAATTCAAATCTCATTGGGTTTTTTTACAGGTATCGTGACATTTTACTATCATTAAGTAGATCTATTCTTCATTAACTGTTTCCCACCTTTGAGACTGGAGAGACTCTCTGCTTGTTGATGAAGAAACTCTGGAAAGCTTGCTTTGTCTTTGATATCTTCTTCACCTTTAAACACAATCAACGATTTTTTTATGTTACAATACACATGAATTTACAGTTTTCTACAGTACTCAGAGCTGTTTCAATAAATCCCATTCATGGAAGACAATATAAACTGGTAAAAGTTTGGTAGCAGTCAGTTTCTACATGTATTATACTTTAAGTCCTAGCAACCTTCCCATGACAAAGAGGTTTACTAGGTGCCAAACTCCAAAATACTGACAAGGTTTCTATGCCTAGCATTCTCAACACCAGCATTAACATGCAAAACAATTCTTTACTTCAATCCTCTAGCCTTTGGTGTAAATTATATGACCCGAGCACAAGTAGTCCTGATCCAGTGACATTTCATTTACTATCCAGATGTTTACACTATACAACACTGGTTAGAGAATCTGGAGGACATACCACCAATTGGCTTTACATGTAAAATGTCTTCTGCAGTGTTGTTATATCCTACTTAGTAGAGTAAAGGAAGAGATTTGATTTCAATTTGATTTCCCGACAATTACTTTTTCTTCTTCTTCTTTCATTTTCTCTTCTTTCTTGAGTTTAAGTTCCTCATCTTTCTTTTTTTTCTCCTCCAACTTTGCCCTAAAAATAAAATACAAGCAAAAGTTATAACTCCAGAAATGCAAATTTGTTGCTTGCAAAAGATAGGGGTGGCATTTGTAATAATAATAATAATTTGAGGTTCTTATATACCGCTTTATCACAACTAAGTTCGTAGGTCGTCTCAAGGCTAATATCTTTCTCAACTCCCTGGGGAGCATACAGCTGGAGCTGCCATTTCGGTGCTAACAGCTAGCATTCAACAATTCTAGCGCTTCCCAACCACGTACTCAATTACAGCTGAGTAGACTGGAACAAGCGGAGTAAAGTATCTTGCTCAAAGATACAACACAGTGCCATGCAGTGACTTTAACATGAAACCCTTCGGTCACGAGCCCGGCGTCCTACCACTAGACTACTGTGCCTCCTACACTGCCTTTAATATATACTGGTACAGTTTTTAAAGCTACCTAAACCATGTTTATTTATATATCAATTGCGTTAAAGTTTATCATTCTTACTATCATTATTTCTCAATATTCAAAGATAAATAATAAAATTAGTGTGATTTGTGTGCTGTAACAATGCACCATAATCTTGCACCTTAAATATACAAAGATAAAGATTGTAATTCCATGTATTTAAACATTTTGAAACAATGTCTCAAAAATGGAATGGACCGTTTAATTGCAACAAGCATGAAAAGAACCACAGAAAATGTCCAAAGCTTACAAATTATGATTGTTCACAACTTGTAAACCATTGAAATAATAAGCATATGTATTGGAAAATCGCTTTAAATACTAGATATCTGTACATGTTGCATCACGTAGAATGGTTGAATCTTGAAGTTGAAAGTGCTTGCAATGCATATGGATGCAAAAGCACAGGAAATAAATGATCTGCATATTAAGGCTATTTCATAATTAATTGTATGGGGCAGGTGGGAGGCACCTGCATAATTATATTAGGGGTGGTGGGTTTAAAACCAGATCTACCCATCATTCCCGATATTAAATCACTTTTAATATTTTATGGCTGGGTAGGGGGAGGGGTCTTTGAAAAAGTGCCACCTATTCCTCCCATACAATTATTTCTTATATAATTAGCTGATGTTCTTTTTACGCAGGTAAACTTTTCTTAGTATGGTCCAGAACATTCATATAGGAAAGTGCAATGTTTTCTGAAATAATGGGGCCAATGGATCATTCTTTTTCCTTTTTCCCCGAGTTTGGATTATCCCAATATTTCTTTGCATGATATTTGTAAAGTTTCTTTAAATCTGAAACACACAAGTGGAACATGCAATGCCAAAATGCTGTCTTTGAAGACAACAATAAATTCTAAATTAATGGGGCATATATGTAAATTACATGAAAATATATCATCCTAGTGTATTCATAAGTGTATGTTTGAATATGTGACGCAGAAAGGGAAAATAAATATCGGACGACTATAGTCACAAGACTAGAGTACTCCCTCTTTGACATATATACTTGGAATAACCCTTACTCGTGTTGTTCTTGTTTTTTCTTTTTTTCTTCCTCTTTTAACTGTAGCTTTTCCAGTCTTTCCTTCTCTTTCTTTTCCTGAAGAGAATATAAGAGATTCAAAAGTGAAATCGACAATATTCTGAACAATTCAAAATTACTTTTAACTCACTCCTTCATTTCACCCATTAAAAAAACACAAAAAAACTTCATAGAATTTGTAATTCACTGGTGATGGGTCAATATTCTAATATTGGTTTCCTTAACTTAACTATTTTCATTTATTTTGTTATTATTTTTTGACGATAGAAACTATGGGAAAATTTTGTACGTTCAGTTAATTATAAGTGCGATGCTTCCTATAATAGATAACTGAAGCAACACACAAATATATATGCCAATAAAAGAGACATCAGAAACCTTTTCTTCTTCTTTCTGTTTATCTTTCAGCGCTTTTGCTTCCTCTCTCTCTTTCCTTTTCTCTTCCTTTTCAAGACGCTCCTCCTCTTTCTTTAGTCTCTTCTCCTCAAGTTTCTTTTCTTTTTCTTCTTTGATCTTTTGCCTTAGATCTTTTTCTTTCAGTTTTGCGGCAGACACCTGAGAAAACGAGGGTGATACAATAAATGCATGTCAGTTTCATTAAAATTTTCAAAGGAAAACATCACCCACAATATTGCTGTGAATATGCTTTAATATTATATATATGATGGTACATGTGTCCATACAAAATATTGTTGACAGACACCTAGCAAGCTTAAGTCATACCATAATAACTTAATAATTTATAAGTGGTCACGACAAGGCCCCCAAATGAAGTTTCAAAAATTTGCTATGAAAATATAGGTAGGACTAGTACTTTTTAAAGGATTGAATTGTACACATCTAGAGGGGTCTGTAACTAGTAAATACAAAACATGAAAATGGTTCTCAAATGCATGCGTTGGCTAAATCAGAGTAATCTGATGCTCTAGATCTATAAACATGTATGACTTCTAAAATAAAGTTCACATTGTAGCTGATCAAAGAACCTGTATATGAGCTTGAGCATGACAACAGTTCTATGACTAAAGAACAGTCATAAAATTTATTGTTTTGAATAAATCCAGTTTTCTGATTTGTTGATTATCTATACCTTTGTCCGAACAGCTTTCTTTCCAGACTTTGGTGTGCCATCACAGCCATCACTGCAGCTTTCTGGGCTCTGTGACACAGGTGTCCGAGGACAGGGAGGTTTCACTGTGGACGTTGGGCTTGACGAAGTCGTCTGGTTTACTCCAGCTTCAGGGGCTGCTGATGCTTGTTGTTTAGTTTTGGCAGGAGTGTTGAAATTTTCCTCTTGTGATGAAGACACACTTTCTTCATTCATTGAAGCATCTTCTATTTCTGTTTCCTTTGCAGAATCTTCCATTGAAACATCTTTTTCATCATTTGTTGAGACATCTTCCGCCACTTCAACAGAGACAATTTGTTCATTCTTGGGTTGTATTTTTGAAGTATCCTCCTTTGGCTCTATGTCTTTTTCATCTTCCTTTATAATTTCTTTTTCTGGAGAACACGATACTGCATCATTGTCTGAATCTTCAATTGAAGTCACCTGTACTGTGTTCAGAGAGGTCTTGTCCGACCCCCTTGGCTTTTCTGGGCTAGCAGAAGTTTCCTCCACCTTAGGGGTATCCAGCACAGGACTTTCTTTACTCAACTCTTTTTGGACATCATTGATCTTTTCCTGTTTCTCAGCAACATCATCAGACGAAATGTTTTTCTCTTCAGGGTCGATACAAATGATACATTCGTTAGTAGAGCTGATCTCCTCCTGAGGACCCTTTCTCACGAATCGCTCCAAGGTATTTCGAATACGGTTTGAAAATCCAATTGGAATGTTCTCTGCCTCGGAGCTTGAGCTGACTTCCGGATCATGATCAACCATACACTGGGTAAGGGGCTTGTTCTCTCCAGATGGCTGGCGCTCTTGTTTGTGGTTCTTGTGTAGTTTGGCACTAGGGGATTCGCCATCAGAGAGTTTTCTCTTTTTGGGTCCCTGTGGGGAAACAATCTGTGGTTTCTGTTCCAAAGGTTTGAAAGGTAATCGAGCTACAAAATAAGAAAAGAAAATCAACATACAATACTTGTTTACTGCTATGCAGTCCCTACAAAATCGCTATGGGACTGTCATGCAATAGCAATGCTCTATGTAGTAGAGTTCAGTAAGTTCCCAATTCATACTGTATAGTTAATTTTGCAGGGAATCAATTTTGTGCAACAGTGCTAAATCAAAACTTCGTGGTCACTGGCTACAATAGGAATACATGTACAGTTAGGTTAGATAATCATGGGACAACTGTAATCACAAGCATGTCCAATTTACAGGTGGGTTTTAGCTTCCATTTTTTAAAAATTCAAATGGAGACAAGTACTGCAAATTCTGCCTTTCGATCACATACCAACCTTGTCTTAATTTCTTGGAAGGAGGACCATCACTTTCATCTTTGCACCCAAGGATGGCTTTTGGATCTGGAAGGAAAACAAATTTTAATTGTCTCATAAATGTAAATTTAAATCATTCTATCATTAATATCATAAGATACAGACCTAGGACTTTCAATCCAGTTGAGACCATCTGGAATTTTTGACTTTCCCCATTTAAATTGAGCTTTTGACACATATTAAAGGACAGAAATAAATAAATGTTGAGAGTCAATACCGAAAGATCATGTTTTGACAACAAATTGAAAGCTCATGATCATAAAGAGAAAGACTTTCAGATCCTCAATGTTTAGTCATTTCTGAAGTCAAATGACATTTTCCCTGAATTTTCAAGGGTCAAATTTAAAACTCTAGTCAAATGGACGTGTCTTTTTAACCCCAGAAACTTATCAAAGCTCACTTTGGAAAGTCAGAAACATACGGTGGTTTTAGAAAGGCCAGGTTTCTTTTCCTCTAGCCATGATACTCAAATTTGTGGCCCAAATTGAAGAAAGAAATACCATTTCAATGTTGTAATTGCACTTTTTATACATCTGAATTCAAAGCTGCATAACAACTGTAAGAAAACTTCTTTGGCCAGTGTTACCAAAATCACCTGAATGCACCCCAGGATTTTAAATTTGGGTACATGTAGATAGAGAAAATATATTTTTTCCATTCTGACCATCATAATCCAGGATGCACAAAATGTTAGTGAAACAAGAACCCCCATACTTCGTTGACAGTGGTCGGTGTCGCTAGACATGGGCACCAGTTGCTAATTGCATTCCTGTTTCTCCTGGAATTTTTTCTTTATTTCTTAAAATTTATATTTTTACTTTGCTTATATGGAGCAGGAGTTCTGACTTTCACTAAATGCCAATAAAAAACCTAGGGAAGGCACAAAAATCTAGGGTCGGTAGGGAAACTGTAAACACATTTGTTTTGTCCTAATAATGTACAATGTCATCTGATTTTTTTTGCTCAGTTGTATAGCCGAAAAACAGGCCGTTTCCCCTGGCTAAAAAGTGCCTTATTTAATCCCATGATGACCAAAAGAAGAGGATTTTATTCCCAATTTCAATAAAAATGCTGTGTTTTCCCAATCCATAAAGGAACAGGCTGTTTTAAGAAGAGAAAGATACTAAACAAAGAAAATGATGACTGACTACATTTCTAGAATCAGATTTTTTTTAATTTCATACATATTTTGAATAAGGACTTTTATTTATGGGACAGTTGGGTTTAATTTAGTCAAACAGTATCTTATTTAATTTAAGGTCATATGTAACAGCTTAAACAGGAAAGGAAAATCCCTGGGGTGTATAATTTCATACTTAGGTTACTTTCCTGCATAACACTTTGAAAAAACTTAACTTTAAAAATTGCCTGTTTGCAGATATCCCGACTTCTCACAATTTTTTAAAGTGGGAAAGCAGGAAGGGAAATTTTTTTCATTCGTACAATTTTTGTATATTTATATAAAAACAAGACCAACTTTCCAAGGTGTTTTCTTTAAAAAGAAGAAGAAAAACATTGGCTTAACTTCCAACCATCAAAATAAAATACAAAATTTCTGAAACGAAAGTAATAAAATATTAGTCATTCTTGTAATGACATCAAAATACAGGATTGGGAAAACCTACAACTTGCGTATAATATGCAAACTCGCCTATCATACGCCAGTTGAAGTATGGATTTGTTACTAAAAATAGTAGGCGAGTTTGCGTATTATACGCAAGTTAGTGGTTTTCCCCGACCTGATTAAGCATTTAATGTATTCTTGCATGACAGTTTACCTATGAACTTTTATCGTGACCAGACAAAGCCAAAGGGGCGCGAGGACGCCGTTATTGCATGCGACTTACTCGCTTTTGAGCGTTCTGATCTGTTTCATTTCAGAAACTAGTCAGACCAATTAGTTCTCTAATTAGTAAATTGCACGCATCCAATCACTTTTTCCATGCAACTTGAATACCGCTTCTATCCAGAAATAGCATTCATTCATGACAAGAGCATTAAAATGTTTCCTTTTACAAAGTAAAACATGTTTTACATGATAAAGCAGTAAGGAATTAACAATGACATCAACATTGCCGCCTTGAAAAAATATCGTTCATGGTGATCAAACTAAACACCGCAGAAATTATTGACGGGAATGCTACAAATCCATATGCAGCAGTTGTTTAACAATTTTACGACAGGATATCCCGTTAACAACACGTCAAGTGCTTTTTTACACAATATGTCTTACCATTCTCAAAATTATTCACACAATCAACCTCAGCCATTTCCCCTCTGTTTATGGTTTCTCTTCGAAGTTGGCGCGAATATTGGGCGCTCGTCGTTACGGACTAAATATCTTTCAGGATACTGTATGGGTTTTAAAAGGACTTCAAATTATTAATTGTAATATTTAACAAAATGGAATGTTTTAAGATTAAAAATAAATTTCTGAGTACGTATTACATTTTTTTAAAGTGAAATATATACTATTTTAATGACCTTATTTGCTGCCGCGCAGAGAAACGTCACGGTGGGAGTAAGTCAGTCCCGGCGACGTAGACACAGGAGCAACGAATCGGGTTTACTTTTCAAATATTAGGTTCGAGTACCCAAAAACACGACAAAAATGTCTTTGGCGGGTCTTAAAAAACAGTTTAACAAGGCGAATCAGGTAAAGTATAAATTCAACTCATTATGTTTAGAAACCAAGCGATTGAGAGGTTTGACAGTTTATCAATCATCATGTCAATGAAGGCTTGCATGTTTACCTTTTTGTCCGGACGCCTAAATGTAATACACGAGAATCTTGCTTGTTACTGAATTTGAAGTGTTTTTCGTTTAACTTTGTAAGGAGTATATTAATATTAACCTCTGACATAATTGACATGTTTGTTATTTTTACAAAACGGGCACTGTATTTGTCTTATGGTGCTGTGTATTGAACAAGTGCATGGTTGATAAAATTCACTTTGACTCAATTTACTAGACCTAACTTAGAAATAGGCCATAGTTTTCGGCCTGTGTTAACCCCGCGGTCATATTTGATTTGTATGTATTTATTGTCATTGTCAAACTCAAATTGTTTAATTTCAGATCAATGAAATCTACATAAATGATAATATACTCTCCAGTCTTTGTTCACAGGGTACTGGGATGGGTTTTTTGGCTCATTACAATTAGTGGCAAAAACACATTTTCAGCTCAGTTGTCAAAAAGTGTCTGGTATCTTATGGAATGGTGCCCATCTGACCAACTTCAATTCATAAGACATCTTGTCATGATATATTTGTCATATAACTTTGTGGTATTGGGTTGGATAATGAAAAACGAAGTATTTATTAGCTCACCTGAACAAGGTGAGCTTATATGCCATACCGTTGCGTCCGTCCGTACGTCAACAATTTCTTTAAACGACTTCTTCTTCTTAACCACTGATTGGAATTTATCTAAATTTGAATGGAAGCATCCCTAGGTGATGGGGATTCAAAATTGTACAAATGATGGGGCTGACCAACCAGGGGGCTGGGGCAAAAAGGGGGCAATTTGGCTATACTGCTTTAAGCGACTTTTTCTCTGGAACTAAGAGATGGATATCAACCATATTTGACTGGAAGCATCATTAGGTGGTGGAGATTCAAAATTGTACAAATAATTGGTCTGACCTCCCAGGGGGCTGAGGGGCGGGGCCAAAAGGGGTCAATTTGGCTATATTGCTTTAAGCGACTTCTTCTCTAGAATTAAGAGATGGATATCAACCATATTTGACTGGAAGCATCACTAGGTGGTGGGGATTGAAAACTGTACAAATCAATGGTGGGGCTGAGGACGGGGCCAAAAAAGTGTATTACATGGAAATGGTTGAGATCCCCACACCATAACCATGGTATACAATTGCTGAGTATAAAGTGAAGAATGCTCATTTGATTCCAGGATTGCTCTAGGGTCTGGCCGCGCCCTTGGAGACATAGTCCCTGGGCCATAACTTTAAAACTGTTGGGAACCCCACCCCAAAACTATATATACAAATGCTGGGCATAAAGAGACGAATGCAGTCATGATATCAGAATAGACCCTGGCGTCTGACCGAACCCCTTGGGACCTAGTTTCTTAGTCACAGCTTGGAAACAGTTGTGAGCCCCACCCTATAACCATATATACAATTGCTGTGTATAAAAAGATGATTGCACATATGCTTCCAGGATGGCCTTAGGGACTGCCCCACCCTTGGAGACTTAAACCCTGGGTCATAACTTCGAAATGGTTAAGATCCCTACCTCAAATCTGTATATACAAATGCTGGGCAAAAAGAAACAAACGCAGTCACGATATTAGCCCTTATCCCGCCATTCACTCATGTGTATATATACACACCACTGCTGTGTATACAATTTGTGGGATACCTCCCACTGCCAAATAAACAACAGCTATATTAATCAAAATTAATTATCTGATTAAACCAACAATAAATTTTTATTTAATTAGAATCCAAGAAAATATATAGTAAGTGTTTTGTTCAGGAAGACTTCTTCTTTTCATATCAAATATAATTTTGGAAATCTCGCTTACATTTCCCGAACTTCAGGTTAGAAAAGCTGAGTTTTGTGTGTATTTTGTATGTTAGAAAGATGATTTACATCTAATAAACAGTTTATTTATTACCATCATCTGAAAAACAATTCCAAGTTTCATAGTCAAAAGTGCTTAGTATTCTGTCGTAAGAGTCTTCCGTATATTGACGTTAAAAAGAAGAGAGAGAAAAATGAATTGGGTCGCCGTCACCTGGAATATCTTTGTTCAAACCGGGCCGTCCTGTGAATGGGGCATTTATGGAGGTACGCTGTGTTGTCGTCGTCTTCAGGAATGTCCACGTCTTTATATGATTGATCAAAGTCAATATCTGGTACGATTTCTGCGTCACGTAGTAAATCTTCAGGTCCGAATCCCTAAAAGTCATTGTCAAATATATCGCTGATAATATACAGTCGTTCGATTCGTCTTCTGTCAGTTTGTCGTCCGCCATTTTTCCGCGCTGTCAACAAAACGAATCTATGCTCTCACGGTCATGGTGGCTTAGTTTATAAATAAACTGTGGGTATCACATAGTCAGCCAATGAAATTAAGGTATAAACGAATACGTCATCATTTCTAAGTAAAGCTAGCAGTGATTTTCTCACCGCAGTTCCGTACTTAAAATGGCAATCCCGGAATCGACATATGCCGCGATCGGCAGTGGAAGGCATGTTTTGCGGAACGACATATGCCGCGCTTGGCAGTGGGAAATGGGTTTATAAAAACGACATATGCTGCACTTGGCGGGATAAGGGCTAAAATTAATCCTGGGGTCTGGCCACATCCCTAGGGACCTAGTTTCTGAGTCAAAGCTTGTTGAGATCCCCACCCCATAATCATACATAAAATTGCTGGGCATGACAAAATCTAATACAGTTATGCTACAAGGATTGGCCTTCGGGTCTGGCATATTCCCTTGATCTCATTTGGAGAATATTTTGCCATGATTGCTAAGTTATCCAGGTGAGCAATACAGGCCCTCTGGGCCTCTTGTATTATATAAATTGCCATAGGAAGAAATAGTTGCATTCAGGACAATGATGTCTGTGGGTATGAGTGAAACTACCTCAGCACATTGTGGATGCTTCTTTTGTAAAAATGAAATCTTGTTAAATGAACACTTGGTAAATGTTTGTAATACTGATTACTTGAAATTTTGTACGTTACCTGAAGTAATGTAATATATATATATATTAGTTATAAAATGTATCTGATATGGACATAGAGGCTGTAAGCCTGTGTCCATTAGAAATCGTAATAAATGATATGTGGGCTGTAATGAAAGTAGTACATCTGTATACATGTAAGATAGAATAAGCTTGCCATCATCGCCAGAGGCTTCTAATAATATTGCACACTATAACTGATTATTAAGACTAATGCAATCCAAAGTAAAGTCTGCTATGTTTTTCTCTTGCAGTATATGAGTGAGAAAATAGGAGGAGCTAAAGGAACAGAACTAGATGATGATTTTATGGAAATGGAAAGGGTAAGACTCCTAGTAATAAGCATGCATGCAGTGTGTTGAGTTTTCTTGGGTAAGACCACAACATTTTTTGTTTTCTAAAAAAGAGCTTTAGATAAAATGTATCTTAGATACATGCCTCCTATGGACCAATGAGTAGCTATATTTTCAATCTTTTAGGGATCCCCGATTGTCCAGATGGCAAGGCAACAATTCTCCCGTGGCTTTCATTGGAAGGGGATATTTTGATATGGGCATGCTTTTTGTGAAATCAAGGGCATATACATGCCTGTGGATTAAGAAATAAGCCAATTTCAAAATTAATAGCAGTAGTGTTTGTATATAGTGCAGCTTCAGACATAAGGGGGATAAGATATTGGGATGAGCCCTTCCATCTTGATTGATTGATTGATTTACGTCCGCTTCATCACTACCGAGTAGTTCGGTTATCCATCAGACGATAAAGCCCTTCCATCACTTCTGGCATATTTATATACACTTATCCTTTATTCAGACAACTTTGTATGTAAGCTTCATCAAGCAGAAGTTTTAACTGTCAGTCACCAGCAGTTATTACCTTTTACAGATGTTACATATAGTATTTTAATAAAAAGTAAAACTTAACAAAATGTAATCATAAAGATCTAACTGCAGTCTGTTATTTTATATGACCCAATGTGATGTTTATATCTATACATCAATATAGTACTGCTAACGTATGTTATGTATGATGTATACAGATTATTACAGTTAAGTCAAATTTCATTGCTATAAAGTTTTAATTAAAAATCATGTTCAACATAGAAGTTTGCTGCAGACAAAGCACATAAAATATTTAATCTCATTTTAGATGCATAACATAAAGCTAATAGCTGCAGCTATATGTTAGAAAAAAGAGGATCAAAATCATGATATCAATGTGTAATTAATGGTTTTCTGTATGTCATATTTCCTTTTACTTTAGGTCAATCTGATTTTATATTTCTGTGAACGATTATGCCAGTGATTTAAAAACTTGTTTTAAGGGAGGGACACCCTGAATTAGATTGAATTTTATGATTTAAAAACACATTCTTTCAATACTCACATTAAAATATTGATCACATAATTATATCCCTGCAAAAAGATAGGATGATATATATTACAAATTAGAATCAGGGTCTTTGCTTTTTCTGCACTTTTTTGTAAGAGCCCATGGTTTTGGAATATGAAATTTGTGTTCTATTAACCATATTGGGAATTCAGTGCCTAAGTGAATAACACTGTCCCGCCTTTCACCAAGACAGCCAGGAATCAATTCCCTAATTGTACACAGATGGTATTGTAAAATTGTAAAAACAACCCTATTATTCGTTAAAACACAAGACTAATTACTTGACGGCAAGTTCAGTAACAACGGTCTTTATATAAACATTTGTAAAAACAGTTCTAGTACGTATATATATAAACAACTCAAAACTTACTTGTTGGGGAGAAACGGAAACAGGAAATAGATCGTTTTTCTCATAAAGAAGGATCGAAAAGTCTAAAGAATTCCGAGTGACTTTGGTAACTTCTAATATACGAAAAGATTCTGGGTGAAATTGATGAAATCCTGGTCAAAATCGTTACCCGGCGTGTGAAGTTATAAAAGCGGGTGAATGGCTAAAACCCCGGGTGTAACTCGACGAAATCGGGTCACCTGGCAGGTATGGTCAACTATATCTGAACAAAGGCCGTGGGGGCATTTATGTTTTACAAGTTGTTTCTTCTTTTATAAAGTACATTATTTAAAAATCTCTGACATCCCTAAATTTGTGAAAGATTATAATACTTTAGATAGAGTATTATACGTCAAAGATATTTTGGGAAAGAATTGCGCTATGTGTTCTGTTGGGAATAGGGCCAAATTTGAACCAAAACATCTCTGAAGGCGTCTATCCGTCAGTCCTGTTACAGTATTTATGAAACTTGGTACACGTGATGCTTACTGATATTGCTACTTAATATACCCTCTGTGCCGATATTACACTTTACACGCGACCAATTCCTTAGGTATTTTTGACTTTTTTCGCTCTTGCAATAAAAGTATCTTTTATTATTTACAGTTGTCATAATAAATGAGAACGTGCTTATTGATTGCAGCTCTGAGCTCATGATCATACATGCATCTTATATTTTAATATAAAATTAGTGGTTGGTTATCTTGTTTTTGTGATGTATTTTTATATGTCCTAAAAAATATCAAGGGACCCCAATTTTCATTATAATCATTTGTGTGTGACTCCATTTTTGAAAAGGCAAAATTTAAAGCTATCATGCAAACTATGCAAAAGAGAAATGGTTTGATCATCAAAAGATGGCATCCCTTTTTAGCAACAATGTTTTCACTTTTGCTAGCAGTTCAGATTAACATAAGTAAAGACTACAGTGAAAACATAGCACAAAGTTTTATTTTCATGAAAGGATTTTTTTTTATGAGAACTGGACGTTGATATTTATGTACCTCCTGTCCCACAAGATGAGTGATAGTAATAGTAACTGTTTCTACTGGTTCATTTAAATTCATTTTGATTTGGAAAAGCTGAAATATTACACAAAAATGATAAACCTATTATACATCATTTGTGTCTTATTTTACTCATGTCACTGTTTTAATCTGTTGTTGTTAATGGAGAATGTTAATACAGTTGTATCTTTGCAATGTAAATTTACTTGTTCATTTAATAGTGTTTTGATGAGACCTAGCTATAGCCTATTACATGTAATTATATGCAATTCCAGGGGTAATCCTGGAGAAGGCTATGAGGTCATTGACCCCTCATAACTGAAATTGACCCCTCCATATCCCATTTTCTTTTAATTTTACATAGAATGGCCCCTTCTTTTTTTTAATATTGACTAAAAATTGCTGAAAATGGCCCACAGCTCTCAAATTCCAGGATTTCACCTGCAAATTCCAATTCAGTACAGTTGCAATATGTTTGTTTAGATTACATTTGTATGGACTTACAATTGTAAAAGTCTATCAATAGGTCAGTATTTATATACATAATGTACATTATGTAAACAGAAAGTCTGCAGCTTATCTGAACAATACTGATAACAGGAGTGTCATTGAATAGGTACAATCTGTTAAAACAAATATATAGGATATGTGGTGTTATCTGATGGTACAGATTCTGATAACTGAACGCCAAGTGTACGGTCATCTGTGTGAGTTAAGAATAGATACACGAAGAGCTTAGTTTGATACCTTTTCTATTGTTATTAACAGTGTAACTGTTACAATGGGGTCATAATGTATACCCTACAGTTTATTTGTAAACAAAAGATCTAAAGGTAAACGTGAGGAGATTGATATATCTATATAGATCTAGATGAGTAAATGATCCATATCAAATGGTATGCCAAATAAATGTTAATGGGTGACATTGCTCACTCATCATCTGATGCATGAGTAGTGTCGGTGTGAGGTTAAAACTCCCTCCATGGGTCGGTATGTATTGATCATACGCCAACAGATATACGGTAACTAAAAGCTGATTGGTCCCAGACAAGTGTTGTAGTAAGGAAGTTTAGAATTGTCCTTCCTGTGGATGACAGCAATACTCCTGTGCTTGAAGTAACGGATGTCTATAATGTAAATGTATAATTGATTATTTGTGTTAGCTTTGTAGATCTCTGCTCTTCCTCACACATAGGTCGGAGGCAGGCCATACCTATCCCAGGGGTTTGTCCCACTGTTGATTTGCTTATATTGCATGGTACAAATAAGTGTATACAATATGTAAATGTATACATATATGTGAACTGCATAATTCTTTGGCAAATTATTCATATACACAACTGGACCTGGAATATTAAATATTGTTACCATAAGATCTTGTATCATGCTTTCTCGGTTCAACCCACATTTAAGACCTGTTAGCTTGCATCATTTACTGAACACAGACTGACTAACATATAACTATGGTATTGATAACTTTATTTTAGATTCATTAAGGGATCAGTGAATCTAACCAGGTTTTCACACTAGACAGTCAATTTCACGTGATTGGCATTTGACATTTATTTTCTGTAACAAGTTTGTTGTGATAACCTTTACCTACAGTAGCCAGCTGGCTGATATGGATCTTATCAACACCATATTGCTGTCCTGATTGAAAGTTGTTACTCACAAAAAGAAATATTGCCATCGACCTTATACTACCAAATATAGACAATAAAGACCTTACAGATAAACTTTAACCATATATAGACAATATATACCTCACAGGTATTATACTACCAAATATAGACAATACAGACCTTATAGATAAACTTCTACCATATGTAGACAATATAAACCTCACAGGTATTATACTCCCATACATAGACAATACAGACCTTATAGATAAACTTCTACCATACATAGAAACTATAAACCTCACAGGTATTATACTACCATATATAGACAGTATAAACCTCACAGGTATTATACTACAAAATATAGACAATACAGACCTTACAGATAAACTTCTACAATATATACATGTAGACAATATAAAGCTCACATGTATTATACTACCATATGTAGACAATATAAACCTCTCAGGTATTATACTACCATATATAGACAATATAAACCTCACAGGTATTATACTCCCATACATAGACAATACAGACCTTATAGATAAACTTCTACCATACATAGAAACTATAAACCTCACAGGTATTATACTACCATATATAGACAGTATAAACCTCACAGGTATTATACTACAAAATATAGACAATACAGACCTTACAGATAAACTTCTACAATATATACATGTAGACAATATAAAGCTCACAGGTATTATACTACCATATATAGACAGTATAAACCTCACAGGTATTATACTACAAAATATAGACAATACAGACCTTACAGATAAACTTCTACAATATATACATGTAGACAATATAAAGCTCACAGGTATTATACTACCATATATAGACAGTATAAACCTCACAGGTATTATACTACAAAATATAGACAATACAGACCTTACAGATAAACTTCTACCATATATACATGTAGACAATATAAAGCTCACAGGTATTATACTACCATATGTAGACAATATAAACCTCACAGGTATTATACTACCAAATATAGACAATACATCTGACCTTACAGGTAAACTTCTACCATATATAGACAATACAGACCTTACAGGTACACTACCAAATATCAACCCATGGATAACAAACAGGTTAACAACATGTATATGGACATCTGAACATAATAGACCACATTACAGGTACACTACCAATTACGGACAAGGTAGTTACAATTTAATTCCAAATATGGACAAATGGACAATACACTAACATTACAGATTATTTATTGAATGTTTTTAGAATGCTTTATGATTAAAAGTTTGACTAAACCTTTACTGGTGTTGGGAGTCATTGGTATAACTATAAACATGATCAATCATCACTTCTAATAAACTGACTGATGATTGATGAGTGATTAATTTGAAATTGATATTAAATTAACTAATAGAACGTAGGTATTGTTCAAAGTACTTCAGCTTCTTCTGCAAAGAAGCTAAAATTAGCCATAGATTGATTGATTAAAAATTGGCAAAATTGGTTAATTGCCCCAGCAATAATATCCTTCACATTAAACTAATAGTCTCCATATCATCATGAGTTCATGTTGACACCTATGACATTTTCAGCAAGAGGCTTACACAAAGCACCACAGTTAGCAGTAATAGCTTTTGTTGTTGACAGTTTAATTGTCTAAATTGTCCATTGTGACTGACTGCCCCATTTCAAAATAGACCCCCCCCCCCCCCCAAAAAAAAATGTAAAGAACACTACATGTAGGCTAGCAACTTTATTAATTACATTTAATTCTTTCAAACATCAGATACCAACACCATAGGTTTGCTTCAATGTCCTCTGGTAGATTCTGCATTCTGACTTTTGTCACCTCGTGCAGCAGAAAACTCAGGTGCCAATTCTTTTTTCTCCAAACTGAAGGGGATAACACAAATGTGCAATACACATCCAGACAATTTTATGTTAATGTTTTTTGTTAATAGAAACTTTGAGGACTTCCTGGAGTCTCAGTTACAGTATAGCGCAACTCAGAAAATATAATTAAGCAATACAATTCTTATATTAAACACAGGCTGGATGAAACATATAACTTTTTTTAATTGTTCTTGCAGAGAATTGATGTAATGGGAAAACTTGTTGATGACCTAATAAATAAAACACAAGAATTTCTTCAACCAAATCCAGGTAAGAATATTAATGCAGTTCTAATTCATTTCACTTTGGTACAAAACTTATTGAATTATGATTTTCTTTCTTTCATAATTACTGAATAAAATTCTTCCATATTATTCATCTGCACCTTAAATTTGGGTTCAGTGTCTTACATACTGAAAATCAACCTACAAATAAATTAAATTGTCCCATTATTCTGTCAATGGAAAAATTTTAAAATTTTGAAATTTTCTTTGTTTCACAGCTTCCAGGGCGAAGATATTCGCTGCAAATTCGTTTTCAAAAATGCGAGGCCAAGCCAAAAATACATCCTACCCACAGCCAGAGGGCACTCTGGGAGAACACATGATAAAACATGGCAAGGACCTGGGAGAAGAGATGGAGTTTGGTAAATAGATTTTATATTTGGTTAGGGGTTATATTGTAAGTGTCAGAGGTCTTTACAGCACTTTGTAATACACTGTATTATCCCTATCACGATGAAATGCCTTGATGAAATGTGTCTGAGGCAACTGAGTGCCTATAATTAATACCGCCAAAAACTTTTCAAAATGATGACTGGGGAAGGCATGGAGTGTAGAAGGTGATAATATAAATTACATAATTTATAAGCTTTGAAATGTTGACTAGCTACATACAAAGTACATGTTTCTCATTCCTCTTACTCTTGAGAAGTCAACTAATTTCCTTGTTAAATCTTTATTTCAATAGAAGTATGCTAGACGTTGCTGAAGTTCTGAATCTTGCTTTCACATGAACTTAATCGTTTTGCTGAAAATAATTTTCTATCTCGGTGAAGTTAATCTTTTTGTAGAAAATAAAATTTTAAACTCATTCATGTCCATTTGTTTAAAAGCTGATTACTGTAGAGAGTCAGTATATTAACATAAGTTTCAAAATGTTGTATTTGAGATGTACGTAAAAATTAAGAAATATTCATGTATGACTATGGACAGTAATTTGAGTCCCTGCACATGCAGCTTTAATTTTGAATTTTAAAATTGTTCTAAAAATATACAAGAATGAGATGAAATATTACAAGTAACTTATCGTAAAGTTATAAGCTAATCTGATTTCGAACAACTGGGGCCTAAGTGTGTATCCCATGCTATCTCATAATCATAAACTTAGGTATATATAGGCAGGTGTTTCTGTTTTCTATACATACACACAGCACAAGGTACAATGTAATTATCTTCGTGAACCTTACTCTACACACATACAGTGCATACATATCTGTCTCTTTTGTTAGGCTATAGCTATTGAGTCTGGTTAAACAAAGTCATCAAGTGTTGTCAGGGGTAGCACATGGATGTACTGGAAAAATCCGGTCTTAATCATGTGTATAAATCCTTATTTCGGTCTGGTCAATCCTGATATGTGATGGAGTAGGCCTATCCTGTACCGATATCTTTTCTGCTTAAATTGTATTATAGTGATTAGCTTTTATTGAGGATTTAAATGCATAGCAGTAGCACACTAAGTGTTAAGTGATGTAAGTATGTTCACTCACAAGAACAGGAAATCCTTCATTACTTATCTCGTTTGTCAAGTCTGGTGTTGGGTGTACAAGGTCCTTGTATTGGTCCAGACTTTGTGTAGTTGGTAAGATTTTGATCCCTCTGCTGTACATTGACAGTAACATAGCCATATGCCTGGTAACTGTCCCCATTTCTATAAAGGGCAACATTTAAGTAGATCTTCCCTGGCGAAAGGTCCTCATTAAGGGAAAAAAAATTCAGTCTAAAGTAGCAGGTTCTTGTAATGTCAGAGTGGTTAGTTAGATCATGCTTGAGAAAGAATTGTACGGCAAAGCTAATAAATAAGCTGCTTTGCTAAATTACAAGACAAGGAAAATGATTTGAGATTCAGTCTTCAAGTGGGACCGAGTAGGGTTAACAGGACCTGAGGACGTATTACGTGAGAGTCACGGAATGTTTCCAATACCTTCTACCTGTTTCCACAATACTACAGATAGTAAAAGGAACAACCCATTATCAAGTCGCTGATCAGTAACATAAATAGTATACTATCAGGCAATGGTAACACTAGTGTGGGACGAACAAATCAATCGGAGACGATGTAGGTAACACACAGGAGTGGATGATGTGTAGCTGAACTGACAGATCTGTCTGACAATAATCAATGGATTTCACCAGCAGTCCTGGGATGTTATTGTCACAACTGATTTATGTATTTTTTATTTTTTTTATTTTTTATTTTTTAAACATTATTTATTTGACTTGGGCAAAGAAAATAAATGTCTGCTTCCCGTCATCAGTTCCATTTCATGATTATCTTCCTTATTTTGTTGTATCAACCCTTTAAGGTTCTCGACGAATATTTCACATGTAATTTTTTAAGAAGCAGAATGTTCTTGGTCACTTATTAATTAGCAGATAGTAATACATGTACTATGATAATCTCTGTCACATTACATCAGAATACAATATAAGGCTCACATTTTGTGTAGACCTACATTATGTGCACTTACGGTAACATAGGACACAGATCACAATACATGTATTGATTTCATTTAGTCTTATCACTGGCTGTGTCGCTGCATACCTTTAATACAGGTGTGTGATATCACTGCAGAGCGAAATGTCCCACTGTACGTTTTGTAATATATTACAGTATAAAGTTGTTTCAATATCATACATGTACACACCAATGTATAATGTTGTATAGATTTGTGTGCTTTACAATCTTCAAAGGTCACTTGACTTGATGATCAAAGAAGACAATGTATGCAAATGAACATGATGTTATTTCATTTTCGAATATATATAACAAAATCAATGATAGTGTGAATGTCAGGAGAAGGTCATAGTCTTGTTATTCAGTGATTGTTCTACTTCCTTTCTACAGGGGCCTGTGCCTGTTGATTTGGGAAAATATCACCCACAAAAAAATCGTGATTTTGGGAAAAACAGCAAAAATTATCTTGTGGAAGGGACCTTTATGAGGCCCCAAATACGTTATATATTATAGTTATTGTTATATATTTCAGTTCAGACATTAAGCTGTATAAATAATGAAAAGAAAGATGTATTGCATTTTATTCCTTCATCATAGGTAAAATTTCATAAGCGTCATTCCTCCTGTGCTGGTCCTGGTGACATATCTCATTGTTGTACTGTCTTAAGCTAACAGAACTTTAATACAAGTGACTCGGACATACAGTACACTTGTAGAAGCTAGGATGACCAGGAAGGTTTCTATTGACACTACCGGTAATCAATAATTCAGACTTCCCGTAACCACATGGGAAAGATACAACAGGAAATAGATATAAAACAGTCATTCAACATATAAATCTGTATATATATAACTGTGCTGTTAACAACAGTTTGACAAATACATCTGTACACATATAGTCAGGCAATACTCTAAACGGGAGAACAGTGTGACAAATACATCTGTACACATATAGCCAGGCAATACTCTAAACGGGAGAACAGTGTGACAAATACATCTGTGCATATATAGCCAGGCAATACTCTAAACAAAACAACAGTTTGACAAATATATCTGTACATATATAGCCAGGCAATACTCTAAACAGAACAACAGTTTGATAAATACATCTGTACACATATAATCAGGCAATACTCTAAACAGAACAACAGTTTGACAAATACATCTGTACACATATAGCCAGGCAATACTCTAAACAGAACAACAGTTTGTCAACTACATCTGTACACATATAGCCAGGCAATACTCTAAACAGAACAACAGTTTGACAAATATATCTGTACACATATAGTCAGGCAATACTTTAAACAAAACAACAGTTTGTCAACTACATCTGTACACATATAGTCAGGCAATACTCTAAACAGAACACCAGTTTGTCAACTACATCTGTACATATATAGCCAGGCGATACTCTAAACAGAACAACAGTTTGACAAATACATCTGTACTCATATAGACAGGCAATACTCTAAACAGAACAACAGTTTGTCAACTACTTCTGTACATATATAGCCAGGCAATACTCTAAACAGAACAACAGTTTGACAAATACATCTGTACTCATATAGTCAGGCAATACTCTAAACAGAACAACAGTTTGACAACTACTTCTGTACATATATAGCCAGGCAATACTCTAAACAGAACAACAGTTAGACAAATACATCTGTACACATATAGTCAGGCAATACTTTAAACAAAACAACAGTTTGTCAACTACATCTGTACATATATAGCTAGGCAATACTCTAAACAGAACAACAGTTTGACAACTACTTCTGTACATATATAGCCAGGCAATACTCTAAACAGAACAACAGTTTGTCAACTACATCTGTACACATATAGTCAGGCAATACTCTAAACAAAACAACAGTTTGTCAACTACATCTGTACATATATAGTCAGGCAATACTCTAAACAGAACAACAGTTTGTCAACTACATTTGTACACATATAGCCAGGCAATACTCTAAACATAACAACAGTTTGTCAACTACATCTGTACACATATAACCAGGCAATACTCTAAACAGAACAACAGTTTGACAACTACTTCTGTACATATATAGCCAGGCAATACTCTAAACAGAACAACAGTTAGACAAATACATCTGTACACATATAGTCAGGCAATACTCTAAACAGAACAACAGTTTGACAAATACATCTGTACTTATATAGTCAGGCAATACTCTAAACAGAACAACAGTTTGACAACTACATCTGTACACATATAGCCAGGCAACACTCTAAACAGAACAACAGTTTGACAAATACAACTGTACATATATAGTCAGGCAATACTCTAAACAGAACAACAGTTTGACAAATACATCTGTACATATATAGCCAGGCAATACTCTAAACAGAACAACAGTTTGTCAACTACATTTGTACACATATAGCCAGGCAATACTCTAAACAGGACAACAGTTTGTCAACTACATCTGTACACATATAGCCAGGCAATACTCTAAACAGAACAACAGTTTGACAACTACATCTGTACACATATAGCCAGGCAATACTCTAAACAGAACAACAGTTTAACAAATACAACTGTACATATATAGTCAGGCAATACTCTAAACAGAACAACAGTTTGTCAACTTCATCTTTACACATATAGCCAGGCAATACTCTAAACAGAACAACAGTTTGTCAACTTCATCTGTACACATATAGCCAGGCAATACTCTAAACAGGAGACCAGAACATCATACAGGGAGAATGACTTCATCATGTGGTTGACTTATTTAAAAGTTTGCCACAGTCATTGCCTAATGCTGTAATAGTGTTAAAACTTATAGGATTCTGATCAGTATCAATCAAAACCACTTCAGAAAATGTATACTGATAAATATACAGTCAAGCCTCACTCATCAAGCTAATTTAGTGAAC